GATCGTGTAACCGTATTTTACAATCACATGATTTATGGGGACTGGCGATATATCGCCATGGCGGTATTTTATAAAATCTTTAATTTAATTATAAGAAACTTTAGAATTAAAATTAAATACTATTTTTGTATAAATTTAATTAAGAACATAACAAAATTTAATCAATAAAATTTTTAAACTTTAGTTAAAGTATAGCTTACTATATATAGTAATGATTTGCAATAATTTTTAAAAAATGCTTATAATAAAAATAATTATTTTATAATATAACAAAAAAAGCTTTTAATTAATTATTAAGCTATCAAATTATTTTATATAATTAAACTTCTAGTTTATAAATTTTATTAATATATTATAATTATAATTAGAGCTAAAAAGTGTACTAGATTTTGTACACTAAAAGTTACAAAAAATACTTAATATAAAAAAATGCTTATCTCAGTAATTTAATTATTAATATAAAAAAAATAAGGATATACAAATTTTGAATATCTATCAGATTGTTGTATATAAAAATTTTTTATGTATATATTTTTTAAAAATTTTAATCAATTTTTTTAAATATACTAGGTTTAGTACAAATTGGTAAATCCAATCCATTAACTATAAGTTTTTAAATTCAAATTAAACTAGCACATGATCATGTTGAAGCCCAAATAATAACCAGATATAGTAACATAAAGACAACGTGACATCGCTAGTTGTTGATAATTTGATAATACATACTGTATATTTTTTTAATATTATATTTCAAAGTATTCTATTTTTTCTATAGTTCTTAACTTGTTTCGCTTCGCTCGATCAAATTCACAATTTGGATTGTATAATCGCGAATATATTATAGAGATTTAGATCCAGAATCGATTTAAATGAATTATTGAATCCCAAAATAACTTAAATTGAATAGGATTTTAAGAATGGGCAGCGAAAATAATTTAAAGTAAAATTTGACAATAAGAAATATGCATAAAATAATTTTTATATAGCACATGTTAAATTGATACTATGCGGATGAAAACCACTATCACATACCAAATTTGAATTTCTTTATAAGAATTATTTACATTTGTGCCGGTTACAGTAGAGAAAGTAAGCATTCTTATTACAAATTTGTTTTTAATAAAGAAGATTATCATTGGATTGACTTCTTGAGTTTTATTTGAAAGTTATTTCAAAATTCGAAGTTTAGTTTCTTCTGGGATCAAAATCTATCTGAGTTAATTATGGTTCAACAAATTCCGAATCTACCTAATTTTCACTTTTATGTAAGAGAAATCTCAAGAAATAAAATAAAAAATATATAATATAAAAAATAATAGATGATTTTTTAAAATAAATAATTTAAAAAGTATTTATATAATAACAATGTCAATAGTGATCATTTAAACATCTTTATCAACTTATCCGAGGCTTTTCATTTACATTTCATATAGAGCATCACCATTTATGTTTGAGTGTCTGTGTTTATAACTAAAGAATTTAAAGAATTTTGAAATCAGATTGTTTAACAAAACAATAGATCCAGTTACTAATGTTAAAAATGGAATAGCTTCATATTTAACTGTGTAAATAACGTATAAAATCTACAAATTTAATAAAATTATTTATTTTAATATGTAATTTTATATTATAGAAGTAATTTTTGTTGTTTTTAATTTTATAATTATGAATTGTAAATAAACATTTTGTTATAACTAACCTGTACAATAAGCTGAGGAATATCTTCTATAAAGACATTAAAAATAGATCCCCAAAATATCCGTTTTTTTGTAATATCAGAAAATGGGGCCTTGAAAAATTCAAATCCACCAAATTCGGAAGTCAAAAATTCCAGTAATGCAATATCAGATCCTGAAAGTATAGCATATATTGGTATAGTTGTTGTGTATTTATTAAACCATTCGACAAATGGGTTGTTGGATTTTAATTCATATGTCATAAGTGTAATCGCGGCAATTAAATTAAATAGGACAGATAGAGTCAATATAATAATACTTTATAAATGAATTATACATTTAAAATTAGTATGCATTTATTTTATATCAATTGAGTAATTTATTTATAACAAATTTATAAACATTTACCTGGGAATATATAGCCAATAAACATCTTTACCATTTTTAACAACAAATAAAATATCCAAAATTAAATCCGATCTTAAACTTTATAAGTGCTACGTTTGACATAATGAAAAATAACACATATATATTATACGTATTGTA